GAGATCTTAATTTCATTGTGTAGATACAAATTTCTTTCCTGTATCATAGTCCTTTTGCCTGAAAAACTTCCTTTCTCATTTCTTATAGTACAGGGCTGCTGGTAATGAATTATCTTCATTTTGTTTACTTAAAAAAAAATCTTTGTTTCTCCTTCATATTTGAAAAGGAGATGTGGAGCCTAATATTCCCCATCTTGAGTGTGGGTCAATAACTTGCAACTAATAGAACTAGATGGAAATGACAATGAGAGAGTAGGCCCTAAAAGGCATTGTGGCTTGTTTTACTGGCTTTCTCCACAGTGGATGACAGAACCACCAAGCAAAGCTACTCCACAATTTCTGACCCACAGAACCTGGGAGATAAGAAATGCTTGTTGCTTTTCTAAATGCCACTAAATTTGGGGGTAATTTGTTACACAGGAGTATATAAATAATATTGGCGTTCTCTAGGTTTTTTGGATCTGTGGTTTGATGCTTTTATTATTTTTGAAATTTTCTCCATCATCTCTTGAAATGTTTCTTCTGCCCCAATCTCTCTCTAGTCTCTTTTAGGGATTCCAATTACATGTATGTTAGACAGCATGGTGTGCTGCATGCTCTATATGCAGTTTTAAGGCACTTGCCAAATCATGCCCCACTTAAGACACCAATCCCAGCTGAGCAGTACCCCCTTCTCTGAGGGACTCCACAGAGATGTTTCTCTAAGCGCCTAAATTTTAATAATTCCAAACTCTTCCCTTTGTGCCCCCAGCCCTAGAAGGGTTAGCTGCTTCCTGAATTTGCTGACTCTGTAATATGTTATTGTTCCCTGTTATCTTTTCAGTTAATTAACAACTTATTCCAATTAACAATTTTTATTAAAATTTTCTGTTAAAATAACAGGCATGGTTTTTGTCTCCTCACTAAACCTGGACTGATTCAAAAATTGATACAGAGTCCCAGTAAACAAATCCTCAAAGATGGAATTTTGAGATTGGTTTAGTTGTGTCCTTGGACTTGATTGTAGTGCTGAGCTTCTTGCTAATAGAAGGTGGAATGTTGCGATCAGTTGTATGACATGGCAACACAATTAGTCAATATTACTCTAACCTATTTATTCATGGAAGTTTTTGTTGAAAGAAGCTTCTTATAGGACTAGGATTCAGCAGAATAAACTTAGGAAAATGCTGGCTTAGCCACACTTCTTTATTTAACGTAATCTTTCCTAAACACATCAATCGTGTTCAAGTTGCTGCTCTTATTTTACCGACATTAGGAATTTTTACTCATCATTTGAGCCTCAATCCTTGTTTTACAAGTGTTTATAGCTTTTCCTGACATAGAACCCAAACATCTCCCCAAAGGAAATAACTGGTTGTATTGCTTTATACATCCGTCCAATATAACCATTGTCACATTATATCATAGTTGTTTGTTTACACATATGCCTAGTCCACTGGAATTGGAGCTCTTTGAGACTCCTTGTCCAATTCATCTTTGTACCTCCAATGCTGATCAGACTATCTGGCATACAGTAAGTATAATTCATTTGCATGCATATTATTCATGATAATGGTTGTGGAGGCCAGCTATATTTATTCATTAAGAAAAATGTGAGCACTTTGAATTTGTTATTCCAGAAGAGGATAAACAGACATGCTTTGTTATTTGAAATAAATTATTTATAGCATTCTTACTATGTGTTACAATTTCCCTTCAAGAGTAGAAACATGTTTGTTTGTTTTTTCCATTTTAAAAATCTGTTCACCTTAGATAGGCAAATAAGTGCAGCTCAACAAGCATATACTGAGCAATTACTCTGCCAGAAACTGTGCTAAGCCTTAAGTACATGAACGTGATATATATAACTGCCCATAATTCAACGGGGAGACAGATTCATAATCAAATAAATGTCAGTATCAATGTGATAAGTACAATAATGAAAGCATATACGAGTTGTAGGGGTAGTTTAGCAGAGAAGATAAAATCTTTATGAGAAGGGATATGAGGAAAGGTTTCCCAGAGACTTCTGAGCTGGAGTTTGAGGGAGGAGTAGGAGTTTTCCAAACAGACAAGAGTCAGGGGTATACATTTAAAATCATGGAGGCAAATTATAGTAAAGCTTTGAAGTAAAAACAGTTTGAGGAGCATTAAGCACCAGATGGTTTATTGTAGAAAATGAGGCTGGAAAATTAGGCTAAGGCTAGATCATGAGAAGAGTCTTAGTTGCCATTCTGAGGAACTTGAACTTATCCAACAGGCCATAGGGAGCCAGAGAAGGTAAATAACATTTATTTTTTGTTTTCTGCATTAGGAAAAATTGTACTACGGTACATCAAGCAAGCATCTTTTGAGCATAAAAAAAAAATATCTCAGGCATTTTGCTGAACACTGAATTATTTAATAAAGTTGTACTTTTTTTTTTTTTTAATCCTTACCTGAGGATATGTTTTTATTGACTTTTAGAGAGAGAAGAAGGGAGAGGGAGAGAAAGAGAGGGAAGCAAAATTAGGTTGGTCTCCTGCACTTGCCCCGCCTGCGGATCGAACCAGCAACCTGGGTATGTGCCCTGACTGAAAATCAAACCTGTGATCTTCAGGGTATCGGATGATGCTTCAACCAACTGAGCCACACTGGCTGGGGCAATAGAGTTGTGCTTTTAAAGCTCTTTATAAAGGACATTTTTGTTGATAAGGTAGATAGCCTAGATTTCAACTATTGTTTCTATCCTCTCAATAGCATAAACTTGCAGGACAGTATTTCTAACTCTTGCTAATGCCAAGATCAACAAACTCTGAATCATTTCTGTCAAGCAGCAGATTTTTCAGTAACCCACTTTAAAAACTGTAATTAGTCTTCTACAAAAGGCAAATTATTTCCTTTATTCCATTTCTAAATTTCATAGCTTTCATCATATTTTTGTTATACATTACTATCTATATATTTCTATTTAAAGTTAGACCAAGGAAATCCACATCTTTTCAGTCTACAAACTCCTGTTTAAAATAAATAGAAGAAAATTTAGATGTTTTCCAAAATGAAGGTAATAGGCATCAGGAAGGAGCAAGAGTGGTCCCTGGAAAGAAGTATTGCATAAAAGCGTTAAATTCCAAGTATTATCCATGCTAAGTATTATTAATGCTTATAAATGGAAGCACAGAATTACTTTGTGCATCTGTTATCAAGATATGTCCTAAGGTATCAGAAAGCCTAAGAGAGCTAGTAAGAGTGTTATGCTTAATGTAAAGCTGGATGTAATTAAGCATGTGTGGTATGATTTGATAGATTATTTGTTGGGCCTGAGAATGCTCAAAAATATTTCCATATAAATTAATTGTAACTGCATCTTGGCTTTACATCATTTCGACTTATGAAAGGTTTGATGAGAAAGCTCTACTTTGGGGTATTGGGGGAAACCTGTATATAAATCAATGGCTATCAATTCTATATTAGGAGTTCAAAGAAACAAGTATAACTTGAAATTTCAAAATCAGTGATGGCAAATAAAGGAATAAGCAGTACCTTATTTATTAAAGATTGTATTCTTGTAATACACAAAACATGTTCCAAATGTGTTTCATACCAGTGTCCTGAGTATCTGAGGGGGGGGGGAACACCATACTTAGATGAAAATGAATTATCTGAAACAGGTTGCTAATTTTTTATAAAACAAAAACTTCTAGTTACCTCATTACAGATATTCTCCTCCTAAGAGAACCGGAGGCAAAGAAAATATGTTAACATTCCAGAGAATCATGCCTTTAGGTTAGATATGGGATTGAGTGGCTTGAATGAGAAGGTTGCTCAATATGAGATTAGATATTGTGAAATCTTTTTCTGGATGTCTCTAGACATAGAATGGATTGTAAATTGTATAGCTTGCTGTGAACAAGGGAACAGACAAGATTTCTCAAGATCCTGTCAAGCCTGGCAATCTTTAGAAATGAAAGCCTAATTAAGAGGCTCCCTAGGGACAGGTCAAAGGAATTCTTTTATCCCTACTGCCCTTATTCCAGTTCCTTGATGCCTTGGTCCCCCCCTTTCATTCAGACGACTTTAAAACTGAAGAATACACATTGTGCAAGTTTCCACCTTTGCTTCCTCTACTGTAATTCACTAGACTATTAGAATTAAATATTTTAATTCCCTCCTCCCTTATCTCTAAACTGTTATTTTTAAGTGTCTTTGAATAGAGATTAACACTAAAAATTCTTCTAAAACTTGTTTTTTTTAATTGGACAACAAAAATGTTTTTAAATGTTAGACTTTGACTATGAGATCACAAAGCCCTTCAAACGTCTTTCAATAAAACTATCTGATAAACAACACTGTCAAATTTCAATTCCGATTCATAACTTCCTTCTAATTTAAAAGATTGTGCTGCAATGCAATACTTGGCTTAAATTCCTGTTGGAATTATATTGACAGTGTTTCATTTCTTAGAAACAGTTTTAGGGTGAACGTCTCTACTGTATCACTCATGCACGTTTAAAACTTGACATAATTATTTCGCAGATTTAAAATGCCATTCCCCTGACAGTAAATGAGACATAATAGAGCATTTTATTGTTTATATCCTCCTCTCCCTTGCAAGGAAAATTAGTGACGTTAATTTGTTTAAGTTTTAAACGACCTCGTAGAGATGAAAACGTTCCATCCAATTAGGAAAACTGCTTTTCCCCAACGTTTAGAAGTACGTGTGGCAACTGCATACACAGCGCCAAGTTAAAATTTCAACTTTTAATTTGGGGCTAAAATTCTACCATTTAAGTTTCCTTTTATTAGCACTCAAAAGCAACAGCTAGGGGTCCAGAAAGGCTTCACGACGCCAACCCTCAGCGGACCACACCTGCCGTCGCCAACCCAAACGCGCTATCCAGCCTCCGGCAGGTGGGCAACTACCCTCCCCGTCCTCCGCGGAAAGCTATACTGCACCTGATTGGTGCATGTGCCTGTCAGTCACTTCGAAAGAGTGGGTCCTCGAAGTCCCGCTCCCACCCGGACGCTATGTTTTTACGTCATCGCTGAGCGACGAAAGCAGAAGAGGGGAGGGGGTGGGGTTGTGAGCGCTGCTCTGTGGAGTTGGGGGCGGCCTGCGAAGGTGTCATGGCTGCTGCCGCTGAGCCTAGTCGCCCGTGCGTCGGTGACAGGAGCCTGGAGCAGAGCTGCAGCCCCAACCTCTCCCAAGAGGTGCTCTTCGAAATCTTTCGCTCCCTGCATACCCTGGCTGGGCAAGTGAGTGATGGCCTGTGGGAGTAGGGGCGCGGGAACAGCCGGGCCCCTCCTATTTTCTCTCGAGGAGGCGGGGAGGGGGCTCGGGGGCGCTGGAGATG